CTTCCAGCCCCTTACCCTGGCGCCCAGGGGGCTGCTGGTGAAACGCGGCCGCGGTGACAGCACGGTCGCCCGTGGATTGAGTGTCTGCTGTGGGTGAGGACACGGCTTTGTCCGTACCGGGGTAGGTTGAGGCTTTTCCTGCAGGTCATCGCTGTTTTATTTATTATTGCGGGGAGTGAGCAGCCGACTTGCTGCCTGCAGAATGCTTTCTCCACCGTGGAAGGTGCATGCTGTGGTTCCCGTCACTCCCTTCCCTCCTCTGGAAGAAAGAGCATCCCCAAACATGGTCCTGCGGGAGCTGGGGAAGGTCGGTGTGAGGCACGGACCAGCCTGCCAGGGCTGCCATGGAGCAAGCAGGCGTGCGAGAGCCTGGCTGTGCTGTTCTGCCCACTCACTAGTGCTGTTTTCCCCGTTCCTTGCATGCCTCAGCATTGTCCTGCCCCGTGGATGGCCATGTCGAGGGGGGACCCCTGCCTTGAGGATTCCCACTCAAGTCTTGGCAGCCGTGTTGGGTATCTTTGCTGTTAGTGTATTTTTCTGTGAAACTTCTTAAAATGTTGCTTCTGTCTGAGTTGTGTTGGAGGCTGCAGTGTGCTCTGGAGAGGACAGGCACAAGTCTTGTAGCAGCATCTGCCTGCTTTGCCCGTCTCCAAGGGGCAGGCAGTGGCAGCTGGCCTGCGAGCTGGAGGTGGTGGCAGAGGGGAGTGCCAGCTCCCAGGGCAGTGGGCAGCAGCTCTAGAGGGGTTTGAGGTGTGAGATGACCCAGCTGTTTCCAGGGGATGTGCTCGGAGGACCCCAAATGCCCTCTTGACGCTGCATGCCCTAAAACAGTAGCTCAGAGGTATGGCTCACCTGTGGGGCTGCTCCGGCCTCTTTACCCTTCCTAAGCGCTTGGATTATTGCATCATTTAAAAACGCTAATGCAAACATCACTATGGTCTCTGCGGCTGCAGAGGTCGGCACTGAGCCCGTGCAGCCCCAGGGCTCTGTTCAGGCAGTTTGCCCAGACAGGATGCATTTGAAGGTACAAGAGCGGCTTTTTGCTGCTTTTTCTGCAGCTAGAACTTGCATGGCCACATACGTGGAAAGGTGTTTTTGATCTATGTGAATAAATGAGAATTGTTTCCAGCTTTTAAAGCATGGTACAAGCCAGGCACATCCTCTCTGGGCGCCCTGTTTTCCAGAGCATGTCCCAGCACATCCTTCCCCAGCAGTACTGGTGGGTGAGTGGAAGGAGAGGCAAAGCCCAGCCTTCCTCCAGTGACCGTGGGCAGGAGGACAGTCAGCAGATGGGATGGGAGGTGGGTGCTCTTTGCTGACCCCCCACCGGTCTGCTGGAGATCTCACGTCCAGCTCCCCCTGTGGTCTCTGAGTCATGCTGGCATATTATCCTTGGGCTGCAGATGATTTTTTTTTTCCCCTTTAACTTTAAATCTTAAGCAGGAAATATAAGCTATTCATTGAACAGCTGGATAACATAAAGCGTGTATGAGTGGTACAAGGACCGTGGAATTAAAGCAACAAGGAGGCCAAGGAAAAAGCAGATGCTTTTTTAAAGCATGTGCAAGCGCAGGACTGTTGGTTTTACAGCCCAAATACCATTGCTTTTATTTCAGGGCAGACAGGCAAGCTGATGTATGTGATGCACAACTCCGAATATCCCCTCAGCTGTTTCGCTCTCTTTGAAAATGGCCCCTGCCTCATAGCAGATGCCAACTTTGATATCCTTATGGTGAAGTTGAAAGGCTTCTTCCAAAATGCCAAGGCGAACAAGATAGAGAGCCGGGGCACCCGCTACCAGTACTGTGACTTCTTGGTGAAGGTGGGCACCGTTACAATGGGGCCCAGTGCCCGTGGGATATCTGTGGAGGTAAGAATTGACTTTGAAGGGTGTGAATTACAACTACAGACAGGGAAATCCCATGTTGGAGGAAGAGGAGAAATCCCCCATCCCTTTTGTGTCTTGATTGTATTGCTTGTTGCTGGTGGTTTGTACTAGATGTGTTCATGTATGCAGCAGGCAGGGTATTTATCTCCTTTTCACAACAAGGTTTAATTCAGGCAGGTACTTTGGGGCTCAGCTGTAGCTATGGAAAAGCCTGTCATTGAAGTGTCAATAAAGAAAACCCTGAAGGGATGCCATCAAACTAAAAAGCTTCTTAAAGTCCTGATGCACAGCACTAGTAGTGCACGTCAGGTTAATAACTATACCGAGGGGGACAAAACAACCTCTTCAGCTGCTAATTGGATGCTGAAGTTTTGTGTTTTGCTTTCATTCTGCATCCGGAGCAGACAGTGGTGGGGCTGGGGCAGCCCTGGGAGAGAAGTGCCCTCCTGCCCCAGCTTCTGCTCACACGGTATAGAGATGGTCTTCTCCTCACCAGAGAGCTTTTGGCAGGCGTCAGTCCTACCTCATGGCATGCCGACCTGGATTGCTGCACCGTGGGGTGCGCTACGGGCTCGATGCCTGCCATCAGGCTGCTTCCGCACTCTCCACTGAGTGCCGTGACTGCTGATGAGGCTTGAGAGCGTTTGTTGCCAGCTGCTGACAGGCATTTCCCAGGGTGGAGGCTGGGCTGAAGCAAGTTCTAAAGGGAGATCCTTCAGCGTGCACGGAAGGGGCATGGGAGGATCTAGGAAGGCCTTTGGGGAGATGGTTGGCTGAGTTCAAGCATGAGTCAAAGGCTCACAAGCCATGGGCAAGCCTCAGCTGGGCTGAAAAACATCTCGGAAAAAGACGAGGAGCTGGGCTGTGCTGGTATAGGAAGGGCAAAGCAGAGTAGGTCAGACTCCAGAAATCTAGATAAGTTGGTGCCTAACAGTCTTCAAGAAAGCTGAGAATTAGATGCTTAAAAGTCCTTCAAAGTCAGAGCCTATGCTTTTCTAAGCACACAAATCCTATTATCTGATATACAATTAATAATCATGCTGTGTCTACTCAGGCAGGTGTTCCTAGCCAGCAGGGATGAGGATTGAGAAATGGCTTATTTCTTCACCGCAATAAACACAGATGTTGTAGTGTCAGAGTTGCTATTGACCTGGGGTTAAACAGAAACTTGTTTTACCCTAAACTTGAGTTCAGGACCAGATTTGCCAGGCAGTCTGGCTGCTTTAGTTTAGTAAGTTTTTTTCAGGGTTTGCATTAGGACCTATTCCTGATTTGTGACCAGACTCATATTTAGTAAAACGCTTAAGACCTTAAGTCCCAAAGCTTTTTCCAGGACACTCCTGAAAGTTGTCGCAGCCACACGAGTCCTTGAGCTACCAGCATGTGGGAATGAAGTTTGGTTTTGGATGGAGTAAAGTTAATGTGATGTTTGAACCAATGTCCCAAGACCTCCACTACTGGGGATTTAATAAAAGCATTGCCCTTACAGGGTACATTTTACCTCCCCTTCCCCTTTGAAGGGATTGCTTGCATGTTCCCAGTATGTCCTGTTCATTTATATTTGTCCATCCTTCTTATATGTTAAATATCCTCTGATGTTTTTATGAAAAGCATTCTCTGTCTAGTGAGGCAGAGAGAGGAAAGCATGTTGCGTCCTGCATGGTTATTGCCCCTGCCACGAGCTTCAGGGCTGTGGTTTCTGTTGCCAGGTGGAGTACTGCCCCTGCGTGATAGCCAACGACTGCTGGAACCTGCTCATGGAGTTCATGCAGAGCTTCATGGGGAACCACACTCCCGGTATCCCGTCCGTGTTTGGCACCAGGCACGACAGCATCTACAGCCCAGCGGACACGATGGTTCAGTACATGGAGCTGTTCAACAAAATCCGTAAGCAGCAGCAGGTGCCTGTAGCAGGGATCAGATGAAAGGACTCCCGGGAGCCTGCTTCAGAATGACTGCATCCTCTTTTCTACCTGCCCGTCTGGATCAGGAGTCCCTCCAAAAAGCAGCACTGGAGGCAGCCCAAGGTTTTTTTTTCTTCTCAATCTCTTTCCCCTCTTTCAAAGCAAAGGTCTTGAATGCTATGCTTATTTCTTGTTATCCTCCTTCATGGTTTTGAGCATGTCTGGGATTGGGCCTGTGGTTCTGATGGTTCTCTGTGCAGTGCTTTGTGCAGGGGATTACTGTTCATCGGCAGGAGGAAAAGGAGAAATTCCAGAGAAATGCATGCAAGGGCAGAGTTTCCTTGACTGCAAACAGCTACATGAGAGATTGTTTTTTTAATTTTTTTTAGATACACACATGAAGGTGTCTTATTTTTCATCAAAATAAAAAGCTGTATTTTGTGAGGAGATGGAGTCTTTCTGTACAGCAAGTGTTGTGCTGTTTTGTATGTTTATCTACAGCTTTTGAAATTTTCTGTTGCATAGAGACAATTGTTCAGCAGAGTTTTATCTTTGATTTCGTTCAAGAGCTTTATACCCCTGAAGCAAACTAATTTCCCTGTGGCAATATCTACAGGAATTCTTCCGTTCCTATTATGGGTATGTTCTTAGCTTGTCTTCATCTTTTATATCTGATGGGAGTATTAAAATCTTCTACCTCTCAGATGATACTGATGAAGCCTCGTGATAAATAAATAAGCCTGGCAGGAGCCCTCTCATGCATTGAAAGAGAATACCAACTGCTTTATCTCATTGTTCAAAAGGTAGGTAATAAATGTCCTGTCCCTGCACACCATTTCTCATTTGAGAAATCCTGGTGACTTCAGCAGATTCAATGGAGTAAGGAAGGATTGGGGAATGAGAGCCAAAAATTTACTGTAAGACTTAACAATACAATATCACTTGAATGTTTTTGGGTTTTTTAGTGGTGATTTATTTTTACAGCAGGAAAACCAGGGAAATTGGATCCCTTTTGAGCTGTCTGTCTCCTTGGTTGTACTTGTTCAGTATGTACCTGGTTTGTAGCTGTCATTTTTTCTTCTCCCTGCTCCACCCCTTGCTTGGTCTCAGAATACAGAAACACCCTCATTCACTCACTGACCTTTGCGCTGAGCTTTCTGTGTGGTTCCTGGGAAGGCTGTGTGAAGCAGGCAGCTCTGCAGCCCGTGTCCTGGACATGAAGGGCAGGTGTAGAGAAGGTCTAAGGATGGGTTTAGATTTGTGAGAAGGACGGTGGGTTCCTCATGAAGAAGCAATGTGCGTCTTGGTCACAGAAAATATTGTTGGTTCCTTGACAATCTGTGGGTCTTGAAGAGTCTGAAGAGCAAGTAAAACAGAAATAGATTTCTCATAAATAGATTTTTTCCTTCTGAAGCAGTGGGGTCAGGGGGAAGAAGCTGTTTTGTTACTTGATTTGTGGAGTGGTGGAGAACTAATTATTTAGATATGACTTCTTTGTGATTACAATTTATACCTGTAAACCTAATTAACTATTAGAGTGCCTAGAGCTTTTAGTGTGGGCATTTAATAAATTTAATCAGCACTGAGTCCAGAAAGATCTAGTTAAGGAGCCATAATAAATGGCATAATGTACCATAAGTGTGTTAGAAATTCCAACACGCTGAATACACTGAATTTTTGCAACTCTTAGCTCAAGTTCATGACATGTGCGCTCACTTCAGTGGGACTATTAAGTTTCAGTGATTCAATGAGAATCTGACCTGCTGTTGTTCCACGTAGTTATGTGTGGCTGGGAAAACTTAGGAAAACAAACTGTAGTCTTTGTAGGGATAGTTATTTCTGTCCTGTTTCCCATTTTAAGTCTTACGGTTAAAAAAAAATACCTTTTAATGATCAGATTAGTCATGCTGAATGTTGCTAATGCTTTATTAATTCCCCAAAGATGCATTCTGTAACCAGAGATGTCAAAACTCTGGTCACATGTCTTAAAAACATAAAATGTGTGCTGTAATCTCTGGGGAATTCTGTGCTCTCATTAATACATTGTACTGTTCCTAGAGTAATAAAACAGGACCCCTTGAGCTACATTCTGCCTTCAATTACACCATTACAGCTATTGACGTCAGTTGGTTTCCACACATGTAAGGACGGGTAGGATTTAGCCCTTTATACTCAGCAGAAAAGTCTGTTGCTGTAAAGGCATTCTGTGAATGAGGGGATCAGCTGCCCCACATGAGGGGCTGCTTTTGCTCTAGGGCTTTTTACTTTCTTGATGGACAAAATGACTGTTTTTCAGTCTTACTAGCTGCAGCAATCCTCCTCGTCCTGGCCCCCCCCAGCATCAATATGGCAGGTTAACGTGGCTTTGGACATGGTAGTCTGCATCTTAACAAGTCTTCAGGGGGCTTTCAGTTGTGTTACATTAATGGATCGAGCCAGTGTAATTGAAAACCACCCTAATTTTGCTTGTCAAGGCATGGTCTGGAAGGTTGTTTTCCTGTTGCTCCCCAGTGTTTTCTCAGAGAATGCAAGACCTAGGGGGAGAGGTGGCCAAGCCGTAGTCCTGTACCACTGTGGATCCTTTTTTCTGCTTCTGCACCTCTCAAAATCACTGGCAGTATTGTTGCTTTCTGTGAGTTGAAGCCTGACCTAGAGGGGACTGGGGACCTTGGGGACGTGGGTCTCACCCTTGCATCGTTATAGCTTTCCCCCTCGTACCTCTAAGTAGAGGTTGGGTGATGTTACCAGGGTCACCAACACTTAAGTGGCAGAGAGAGAGTCCAAGTCTCGCTGCCACCCTGGGGATACTGTGGGCTTTTGTTCTGTTTTGTGCTGTGGCATTTTTTGTGAGGAAGTGCTTACATAGCAGCTGCACCCTGCTAAGCTTTACAAAGAGAGAGAGGATGTAAGGGCCTCATTAATCTTCAGTTTTAATTCTTAGTGGACGTTACAAACTGAGGGCTCATTGCAGCGGGGAGCTGTTGAAGAGTTGAGAGTAGTGTGGCTGTGGATTTTGTGCAGGTATGGGTTCAAAACAGACCAGGCACTGGTCGAAAAGGGAATGTGTTGAAAAAGGACGACAAAGCTCACAGGAAGTAGAATTTGTGGGAAGGCTGGCTGGTGAAGAAGCTCACAAGGAGACTGCAAGGTTGCGGAGTGTCGTGCAGTGGGAGAAGAAAGCAGGCTCCCACCTGTCGCAGTAAAATGCAATGTTTTGCCTCAACTTACTGGGACAGTTGAGGGGGAACACTTTGCCCTGTGCAAAGGAACTGTGTCTGTGACACTGCTGACCTGTGCTTCATGTTGTCAGTGCTGTGTGGTCCACGACTGCTTGCTTGCAGCTTTGCCCCAGCTCAGTGCTGCCCAGAGAGCAGAACTCGCCGCTCCTTAGCTGGTCCCCAATGCTACCTCTTGCAGGCTGCAAAAAGAGTGAGTTGGCCAACGGGTGACTCCAGAGTGTGGCAGTCCCTTGCTGGGGACAGGCTTCTCCCCCAGCCTCAGTGCTGTTGTCCCTTTGTCTCTGACAGAACAGTTTCCATCCCCTCGTGGCTTCTGCACTATGGCAACGAGTGTGTGACCTAGGGCCCCTCGAGTGACCTCTGGCGAAGGCCGGTAGGGCTCGTGGGCCCTGTGGGCTGCCCACCTCCGTCACCTCAGGGGCCCTGTGGGATGCCTCCCCATCACTTTAGCGGCCCTGTGGGGTGCCCCCTGCGCGGTCGCCTCAGGGCCCCTCTGGGGTATCTCTCACGCCACACAGGCACATCAGTGGCCCCGCGGGAACGCGCCACATCCCGCGCTGCCCCTTTAAGAGTCTCTTTGTCTCCGAAACATCCTTATTTACCCTCCTGTGACTCAACCAAACTTCAGCCTGGGATTCACAAAGCCCGGTACGTCACCGTCCGGGGCCGGGGCCGGGCAGT